AAATTTTCCCAGTAGTTCATCAAAGGTATGAAATTGTTTATCAAAAGAGAACACGATAATTGAATTTTGACATCGTTAGATAAGGGTAGATAAGTTTCACGGTATCCTTCCTAATTATTTGTAATCTGAAAGTGTGACCTAACATCAATGGTGCTTCAGAGCTTGTGAGGAGTATAAAAAAATAACCAAAAGTAGAGCAGTAATATGTCTCAAATGTGATGTCACCCTAGCACATAGGTCAGGTTGCATCATGCCCTAAAGATACATTATGTTCCTAATTCGAACTGCTGCCATGGTATGAAACAGAATGTTCGATTGTTTCTTTGTTATAAATTTCGCGCAAAGCTACACTAGGGCTATCTGCGCTAGCCGTCCCTAATTTAGCAGTGTAAGACTAGAGGGAAGGCAGCTAGTCATCACCACCCACCGCCAACTCTTGGGCTACTCTTTTACCAACGAATAGTGGGATTGACTGTCACATTATAACGCCCCCACGGCTGAAAGGGCGAGCATGTTCGGTGTGATGGAGATTCGAACCCGTAACCCGCAGATTGCGAGTAGGGCGCTCTAACCACCTGGCCATGCCCGGCCCCAGAATGTTCAAGGTTTTGTAAAACGTGCAGTTAATCCTATGTATCACTTGTCTGTATCCATAGTTTGAATGATGATTAAACGACCGACAAAGATGCCGATATTATTTCTCCTTTACAAACTTCAATAAAAATATTCAAACTAATGCAGAATGACGAGTTTACTGCAAATAATTTCCAGCGCCTGGATTTAACATCCCTTCCTGTATTATGTTCAACTGTTAGCTGGATTTAACACCCCTTCCTGTATTATGTTCAACTGTTAGCTGGATTTAACACCCCTTCCTGTATTATGTTCAACTGTTAGCTGGATTTAACACCCCTTCCTGTATTATGTTCAACTGTTAGCTGGATTTAACACCCCTTCCTGTATTATGTTCAACTGTTAGCTGGATTTAACACCCCTTCCTGTATTATGTTCAACTGTTAGCTGGATTTAACACTCCTTCCTGTATTATGTTCAACTGTTAGCTGGATTTAACACCCCTTCTTGTATTATGTTCAACTGTTAGCTGGATTTAACACCCCTTCCTGTATTATCAGCGCCTGGATTTATCACCCATTCCTGTATTCTGTTCAATTGTTAGGATATCATAAGGATTTATATTATGACTCACATACATCTCAAAACGTTGACCACGTATTTTGAATTATCAATCAGAGAAAAGGCAGCAAGGTAGTAGTACCCGCTGCTAGAATGGTTTTATCCGGCTCCCATTGACGTATTAAAGTTTCTACCAGCCCTAGGCCCATTAGGAAGTACCGCCACCACGCTCCGTAGACAGGATATAGTTTCAACCAAGAGCTATACATTTTACACAACACCACGACAATTTTATAATCACCATGGACAGTACACAAATATTAGATTATCTAATCAGTCGATATATCAAACGAACAAAAATCACACATAATTGTAAGCTATAAACCCCTAAACGTGCCATAAGGTTATAAAGAGACGGCTTGATAAGTGCTATCAAAACAAGCATCCAGATGGCGATGTTCAAATTTCATTACACTTGTGAAGATGGGGATGTTTTAGCGATTGGTTTGTTTGTTTTGTATTTCGTGCAAAGCTACACGAGGGCTATCTACGCTAGCTGTCCCTAAATTAGCAGTGTAAGACTAGAGGGAAGGCAGCTAGTCATCACCGCCAACTCTTGGGCTACTATTTTACCAACGAATAGTGGGAGTGACCGTCAGTTATAACGCCCATACGGCTGAAAGGGCGAGTATGTTTAGTGTGACGGGGATTCGAGCCCGATCCCTTCAGATCGTTTTAGCGATAAAGAGACTTTTGTTCAAACCACCAGATCAGAATCCCTTGGTGTTCAGGGAAAGGGCGAGTATGTTTAGTGTGACGGGATTCGAACCCGTGCCCTTCAGATCGTTTTAGCGATAAACGAGACTTTTGTTCAACCCACCAGATCAGAATCCCTTGGTGTTCAGGGAAAGGGCGAGTATGTTTAGTGTGACGGGGATTCGAACCCGCGCCCTTCAGATCGTTTTAGCGATAAAGAGACTTTTGTTCAACCCACCAGATCAGAATCCCTTGGTTTTCAGGTATATATATATATATGTATATATAGCCGTCCCTAATTTTGAATTATTAATCAGAGAAAAGGTAGCAGCACTCGCCGCTACAATGGTTTGTCCGTCTCCTTGAAACGAATAACAGGATTGATTGTCATTTTTATAACGCATTTACAGCAGCTGAAAATGAAGATAATAACTAGGCCACACTCGATAGGTAAATATAATTTACTGGATATATGACGTATTTACTGAGGAAAAATAAATGCGTTTTTGTCACCACAAAATATAAGACATTGCCAGCAACATCACATGGAATATATGATTGTTAAGACATAGCCAGCAACATCACATGGAATATATGATTGTTAAGACATAGCCAGCAACATCACATGGAATATATGATTGTTAAGACATAGCCAGCAACATCACATGGAATATATGATTGTTAAGACATAGCCAGCAACATCACATGGAATATATGATTGTTAAGACATAGCCAGAAACATCACATGGAATATATGATTGTTAAGACATAGCCAGAAACATCACATGGAATATATTATTGTTAAGACATAGCCAGCAACATCACATGGAATATATGATTGTTAAGACATAGCCAGCAACATCACATGGAATATATGATTGTTAAGACACAGCCAGCAACATAACATGGAATATATGATTTTAGAACGACAATTTTATAATAATCATAACTACATCTAAGAACTTCAAATTGTTCGGACTCATACTTGCTACTAAATTGTCAGAGAGTAAAATCCTAAGACCTGAGTTAAAGTAAAGAAGAATGATGCCAACCACATCACATCTGTTATATTCATTCAGTGCCAACGAGGTCTTTCGTCTAATACCAGGGTTCATCAAGCCGGCACGAATACCGTTTGGTTTGTTTTAAGTCATACCTTTCTGGAAGTTATGACCTCTCTTATAAATCTGATCAGTTCGCCTAATACCAGGGTTCATCAAGCCGACTGGGATACCGTTTAGTTTTAAATTTCACACAAAGTTAAACGAGGGCTATATGCGCTATCACCACCCACCGCCATCTCTTAGGCTATTCTCTTATCAACGAATAGTGTGATTGACCGTCACATAATAATGCCCCCAAGGCTGAAAGGGCAAGCATGTTCGGTGACGGGAATTCGAATACGACAGACACAGTGGTGATTGGGACGCTATTTATATTGTAAAACACTGTTATGGTGTGAACTAGATTATTTGGTGAAGTGTAATTATCAATTTTATACGAGTCGTTTACAAATGAGAATTAGGGTAAGGATTAATAACACGATATTATCATTATTGTTTACTTGAATTAACTGTACTCGTCTTTTTGAAGAACTTGTCAGCCAACAAGCTAGTATTGTTATACATCAAAACAAACGAGGGCATGAAACGTAACAAACAGAACTAGCTTAGGTACTCACATATATGGTGTTATATGCTCTTCTTGGATTCCAAATAAGAATTATTTTATTTCAATAATTTCCATTGAATTTTCTTGTTAATTATTTTTTATAGAAAATACTTCATACTGCCCTCTACAGGTTTGTAACGTTTAGAATATAATAATCTCTTGTTATACTTATATCAAGCGATAGACAAAATATGTTAGTAAACGTTGAAATGATAAAAAATAATGAAAAACTTTATCGTCCCATTAGGATTAGCAACTATTTTATTTTATTCTAATGTATCCTCCGCCATATTTAAAATGCTTACTTCTTGTTCCGGTTCATCTACTGGTAAAGAGCATCCAGAAAGTGTTCTGGATAAACGAACCGTGCATAACCTTAAATTCATATGTAGACCTAGTCTAACTTACAATAATAGCACTATCGATATCAGTACAAATGCTCAGTTGGATCTTGTTTTCTCCCTGTTATAATTTTATTAACGGACTGGCTCTGCATATAAATGTTCTTAAGGCCCAACAATGTGTATTCAATAATAATATAGGCGTACATGATTTATATCAAAACATTTAATTATTCGTTATCGGTATATACAAAATGTATTTTACATGTGTTACCAAGGTATAAAAATGCACATAAAAATAAAATTAAATCAATTCCTGAGACACAGTATTATCTTACTATAACTGGCAGAAATGTGCACAATCGGTCTCATATGAATATAATGAATACAGCAATGAATAGGGAATTGTTTGAACGATAATTTTCCCTATACGTATAAACAAAAAATAAAGTTTCAAAAATTCTGTTTGGTTCGGCTGTAGGGTCAGCTTTCAAACCGCTGAGTTATAACCCTAGCCCTCACATCCACAGAAAGGGTATACATTTCTAGTGTAATTAAGTATGAAAAATAAACGTTTAATCATCGTTCCATCAAAACAAGATAAAACTGATAACATAATAATAATCAATCTTAAAATTTATTTCTAGCATTAGAATGGTTAATGTTATTAATTTTATTTATAGATTAACTCAGTAAACATTTCTAAGTTTGATGGCTATGCTCTAGTACAAGTAGTCTAATTAAAAAAAACAACAACAACTAACATTTGACATATTCCATGTAAACCTACATGTTGTTGACATAGGCTGAGTGTTAAACAGACGGTGATAGTGTTTTATACACCCCACACATCCCCACCCCAGGAGACGAGCAGATATTAAAACAAATCGTAGTGCATTCCTCTACGGCAGTATCTAAGCGCCTGCAAAATTGGATTGAAATTCGTTCAGTGAATTTGAACGAAAAGCGTTGCTAGCAGACTCACAAAAACGATAATGGCGGCTATATACGCTCTGCGCATGCGAAGTATAAAAGAAATGAAGGTACGTGTCTGTGTCAACTTGCAATAGAAAAAAGTAAAGAAACAGGTATACAAACCCTGAAAAAGGCCAACTTGGGTTCTTCCTTCAGAAGACGGACTAATGAATGGTAGTCGGATTGAGCTGCTTTTAGGATCCACTCTCGTCGCCTCGGATCGAGCTTGTAAATATCATTAGAAAGATGAGATATATATGCAAACACACACACATATTAAAATTGAAAAATTAAACGTACCCTCAACTACATATATAACTCGAAAGCGTTGTTTTCAGGAAGACAATTACGTTAACTAGGAGGATCGGTTACATGATACAACCCATTACTGTTGCATCTGGTAACCACTGTTCATGAACTGTAAGGTGTTCAATAAATCACTAGTACGGTTTGCAAGAATTTTTCTCGCAGCTAAACAAAAATTAATATCGTGAATATCTATTGTTATACAAAATCCTGCAGACAGATTGAACAAAACAGAACGTTTTGGTTTCTGATCTGTCTGACTGTTTCCAATATTAACCAGTACTGAGGAGATAAAATGGATTATACCTTTCTGGAAGTTATGACCTCTCTAGGAATATTATACTTATAAATCTGATCAGTTCGACAACAAACGAGCCAATAGCTAATTTGACCTATACTACACAAAACTGAATAAATTGATAAATAACACACAACGTTACAATAGTTTTGTTTCAGAATTTCGCGCAAAGCTACACGAGGGATATCTGCATTAGCCGTGCCTAATTTAGCAATGTAAGACTAGAGGGAAGGCAGCTAGTCATCACCACCCACCGTCAACTCTTGGGCTAC